CTCTTGATTAGATATTATTTATTTTGACTTAACTTATAGATCTTTAACAATTTTTTACTCAAAAAGCTCTCATAAGGCAAAGAGTTGATCATTAGTTATTTTTACCTTAATGAGATTTTTATCCTCGGTCAACAACCAATTTTTTATGCGATATAACTACAAACCAAGGGGGGGAATTGACGTTCATATCTTAAGAATTGAAGGCATCGCTTGAGCTTCTAGGTCAAGTGCAATGCACAAAACAAATTAAAAGGGAGAGAAGAGATTAGTGGATATATATAAAAGACAATTTTTCGTAAGTAAATAAACCAAGAAAAGGTTTGTAACAAAACTAATCAAGCACTACATGTCTGCCTCAGAATATATCTGCATTTTCGTTTCGTCTTCTTGAATAAAGTTGAAGATAAAAATTGGACTTTTCATTGGAGTATAAAACTTAGAATACTGAAAGTTGAAGTCTGTACAAACTATAGAATATTAATTATTTGATGACAGGGACCACCAATTATGGGTGTGAGCCATCCATTTAAATTTAACTAATAGTTGGTATTTCGTAATAGGCAAAATCATATATTAAGTCCCTAAACTAACTCCAGATTCACTATTGAACTCTCAAACTTTAATTGTTACATATAAGCCCTAACCTCCACAATCTCAACAATTTAGCTCTTAATTTTTTAATTACCATAAAAATAAGGGCTAAATTGCCATAAAAATAAAGGTTAAATTACTCAAATCGTGAAGTTTAAAGATTTATATACATTAATTAAAGTTTGGGAGCTCAATAACAAGTTTTGAGGTTGATTCAAGAGCTTAACATATAATTTTACCTTTATAATATAAACCACAAAATACTAGACTCTTGAATAGAATTTTCATTAAGTATAACAGCTGGAATGTTCAATTTTGGGTATTTTAAACTTATGGATAACTTTGAGCATATAGAGATAAGTTTTTATTTAAACATTTTGGTTTTCTTATACTAGTTTGTGCTCGTAACATGAGACTAATTATTTTTAAACACTAATTAATTGGTTTGATACTTTCGAAAGAAATGGAGGTGATCCATTAATTGAAGGCTAAGAGAATCTCAAGCGCATACCAAAAAATAAAGCTCTTGGAGCCCAAACTACGTAAATAACACTAATGAAATTAAAAATGGGCTTAAGCAAGCCCAACTATCCTGCCACCATCGAAACGACATCTTTGTTCTTGCCTTCCGTCGAATCAATACCCACTAGGGCCGGAAGCCCACACAACGCGGGAGTTCTCATCTTAGCTAATAAGCGGAGGTAAAATACTAAAATTCATCCTTTAAATAAGGGGGTAAAGATAAGTTCACTCTTAAAAAATATAGGAATAAATTATTTTTTTTAAATTATAAATTAAAATAAATCATTTATTTTTTAACATGTAACGTTAATTTTTCATTAAAAAATATTTACGTGACTAATAAAAAACTGATTTTATAAGTTAAAAAATGAATAATTTGTTTTGATTTATAATTTTTAGGGACAATTTGTTTTTACATTTTTTTTAAGCAGCGGATATGTCCATATGACCCTATTTGAGGGATGAATTTGAGGGTTAAAGCTAAGCCGTAAGCACACGGAGCTCTTTTTTTATTTTTTTTTTGGCAACACAGCTCATTTGCAAGCCATTTTTCAAAAGAAGAAGAAAAGAAAAAAAGAAAAAAAGGCCTAAAACTTATTCATCTCTAGGTGAATGTAAGATCACATACACTTCCATTGATATAATACATTTAAAAAAATTAAACTTTTTTAAATTCTACTTTCAAAGCTTGTACTCTATACCTAAACCACAGGACAAGTTCAAATAATCACTCTCACAAGAGAGCTGAATTGGCTAAAAATTTGAGAAATGGATAGAGAAAGCAAATAATGTGATAATCTTCTGTACGTCATGATCACATGCATAAAATAAAATTAGGAATTTAAGGCATAAAGGACAAATACAGAAACAAAATTAGTTAGTACACAACGAAAAGAACAAAGTAATAACATAGTTCACGAGAGGAAACAAACAACAGCAGTAGTATTTTGATCGATGATTGATGACTAGCTAACGTAATCCTTAGTGGTGCCGATGGGCGGCCCAAGGGAAAAGGACAATCTCTTTCTTCTATATTCTTATGTTTCCAAAGGGAAACCAAAACCAGAACAAACAGAAATGTGTCACGGGAATCCGATAGAATATATGGTTCCCTCTTCTGCCCTTCCTTGTGTACATGTGAGTGCACATGTTAGCTCTTCTCCTTTCACTTTCATGTCACCAATTCACATGCATAGGCATTGTTTCAAGAATCTGCCTTCACAAAATACTAATATATTTAACCCTTTCTTCTCAAGAAGAGTACAAAATATTAATAATTGATTGAAAAAATTTTATGGTGAAGTAATGGAAATATTTCTATGATTTAAAAAGTTTCATTTTTAATTTTGCTGGCAGTTGGGCGTTTGGAATTAAATAAAGAGTGTGAGATGAGGACCTATCATTTTAAATTTGCTTCAATCATGTCCTGGTTTCTTAGTAGTTGCAATTTGGTCCTTCGTATAATGGTAGAGTGAGGTTACAATTCACTTTGAGGGTAAATCAAGAATAGTTGTTGCTTATAAGGAGGGACCAACTCTTTCCTTCGTGAGGACCCTTTTGTGGACAACTGCAAGGTTGGTAGACCAAAGTGCTCAATACTTCATATAGGTGGCAACTTAGTTGATCATTGGCACCTTTTTTGGGAATCAACCAATTCTTGGTGTTCAAAGCTCTTATTCTTCTAATTAATATTGTTTCTATGCTTATTCCTCTAATATCATTTTACTTGATTGATATGAATGAAAATAATTTTTAATCCATGTGTATCTAACCCAATATAATTGTATCTCAAATTAAAAGTAGCTTATTTATCTTTGCAAATTGCATATATAATAGAAACTTTTTTATAGTCTAGATTAGCATTGTCAATTTGAATTGAAAATGACAAGAGAATGTCCTTTCATCATGCTTCAAAACTTTGGGTTTTAAGATCACTTTTATATTAGTCCTGTCATAACCCGATTTTTCATTTAGTTTATTTAAACTTTTTATATAAAAAAAAAACATATATATCACAAAGTTAATAAAAAAATCAAAAAAATCAAAAAATGTAAAAATATAAAAATTTATCTTTCCTTTAACTAATATATCTTCATTTTTCTTTCGGGCGCTACATGCAAAAAGAGGAAACCCAAGAAGAAAATGAAGAAAGGAAACTCGAGAAAGGACTCAGTTGAAGGAATCAAAAGTTTGAGGGTGAAATTCACCAAATTTACAAACTCAACACCAACCTATTTCAATTGAGCCCACTAAAAAATCCAATTACCCAAAACCCAAAACCCCCCCCCAAAAAAAAAAAGGAAATAAAAAATGCCAAGGTCTTCAGTACAAGGAAATTAATTATGTTTCGTATCGGCTGGTATTGCCGGTATGTACCGGATTTTTCATGGCACCGAAATGGTATAAAACTTAATTTCATTTCGGTCAAATTTCGCTCATTTTGGTCAAATCTCGGTATTTCGACCAGTATTTCAACGTACCAGCGATGTTGACAACCACTTGAGATTTTTTTGGAGAAGAAAGATCCTCCCTTTCTGGTGGCTGTCGAACCCCTCTGCTTACTAGTGGTGAAGGTGGAGGCAGTCATGATTATGAGACACAAGAAGATGTCAAGGTCGGAGTCCCAAGGGGGCTTGCGGCTAGATCTACATTGTCTTCTTGGTGATTGGTGAGATGAGAGTGACGATTAGCTAGCAAGAGGATGGTGAAGGTCGGAGGTGTTGGGTTTTGATGGGCTGGGCTATGAAATTGGGTTGGGACTTGAATTAAATTGTTGGTAGGCTCAATATTGGGGCGGATTTGTGGATTTGTTTTGGTAGATTTCATCCTTAACTTTTTAATTTTTTTGATTGAGTCCTTTTCTTGTTATTTTTCTTGAATTTCTTTACAAAAATTTTTTTATAACAATAAATCCGAAACAGTATACAAAAAATTTCGATACCCGGTACATATCGTTCCAATAGCAAGATTGGTATATATGCCGGTACGGTGTTGAGAACTTTGCTTCAGAACCTTCTTCTTGACTAAGCCCTACTCCACGCCCCCTTGCTCACACCCGAACCAGCCTTGCTCCTCCACACTCATCGCACCTTCGCGCCCCCTTGCACTTGCCTAAGCTTGCTCGCTACACCCTCTATGCCTCTCTTTCTGCACACCAAATCATGCGCGCCTCCTGCATTCTATGCACCCAGATCACTTGCACTCTGCCCCAGCCTACACTCTGCTACGCTCGGCCTTGCTTCTTGCACCAACTTTGCTCTGCACTAACTCTTGCGCTCTGCACCAAATCCCCTTGCTCTGCACCAGATCGCCTGCACTCTGCTTGCCCTGCTGCACCATAGCCTGCACTTTGCCGCGCCTCTGCACTCTATGCCCAATCCCATGCCCTTGCCTCCTGCACGCTACAGCCATACAGAAAAAAACAACATATGCCAGACAAAATCATGATTGACAGAGCAAATTTTTTTTTTTGTTATTTCATTTATTTCCTTTTATTTTATTTGGGTATATATATAGGAAAAATTAGATCAAAACGGCGGGAATTTGGCTTGTTTGAATGTGGTGTGGTGTTGACGGTGGAGAAGAGGAACGTTTTTTTTACTGGAAGGAGACTGTATGAGAAAGGAGATTGTCAAATTGCAAGAGGGATTTCATCTTTGGTTTACATTGTTAGGTATAGCTCTGAACATAGGATTTTTGTTAGGAAAATGGTGAAGGAGATGGTGGAAGCTTGATCCCGTGGGTGGGATTCCTTCCATTAAATCCAGATCTGTTCTTCTTTCAAAAATCCACCGTGCTTGTTTTTATCTTTTTGTGATGTTTGTTTCTTTAGATTTGATGTTAAGATTGTGTATGTTTTGTTGGAAAAATGAATGAAAAAAAAATGTTCAGTTTATTTTCTGATGAGTTTGGTTCTTTTACTTGAAAATGATGAACCCTAATCTTCTTGCATGTCTGCATGTTTTGATCTTTTGGGGTCTTATTTTGTATTTGGATCATGTTTCTAGG